GAGGCAATAATATTACTGCAGTTGCATAATCACTTACAGGACCCCAAAACTACTTCTTGGGGTAATCATTTAGGATGCATGGCAGATTAAGTTAAATTCAACTAAAATGGCATTTAGTAGAAATATTAATACCATGTCTCATTCCTTGTATATTTGAAAATTCTAATCCATGTAGAAAATTGAGGGGAAAAATATAAGTTTCATGACAAATTTTATAGAAGCCATTCAAACACTATATTGCCATTTATATTTATGACTCATTTTGTCATCAATGCAGAGAGCAGAAATTGGTTGAAATCCCCTTTTGGGAAGGAAGCTCAAAAGGGATCTTTTAAAATCTATTTTAGCTCAGTTCTTCAGTTCATAAAGAAGTTGCAAACTGCAGTCTGTTTAGTGCAGATATACAAAAGGCTAATATCTGTAGGATATTACATTTTTGTAGATCTGTTACTACATGCCAAATTTGACAGAAATTAGACAAAGGTAATTATCAGGAGAAAGCACTAAGCCATTAAAACTATATACAGTAGCACTCGGAAGGGATGGGAGTAACTATTTAGGATAGGATGGAAGGAAGGAATTGAACGCTGACCTGCATGAAGCGAGGTCGTCACTCTACCGTCCAGTCCCTTAGATAAAATTAGAAATTAGACAGAACTTGCAGAAAGTGATTACACAGCATAGTGGTACAGTACATAAATACTAATCACTTCTATAAAGGATTAAATTTGTGCTTCCAGGGTGTAGGAGTACTATCTCCTCAACGATTAAGTCAACGACTCAATGAAAATGCTCTGGCACGGGAGGCAGTTGGAGAGAGTGATGCTGAACTTGCCCAGTACCTGAAAGATGAACGAATAGCCCTCTTCCTCCAGAATGATGAGTTTATGGATGAGCTACGAACTAATCGGGAATTTATGACTGCTTTGCAAGAGGGTTAGTGGCACCTCATTATCATTATTATTATTACTCTTTACTCTGTTTCACACTCTTGTGGGATTAGCAGGTACTAACCTAAAGAAAAGAAGTCGAGCAATATAATAAATAAGTTTAAAGATGTTAACAAATTACATTTGTTCATTCACCATAGCATCACATTACAATCTTGACAAGTGAAAATTGTTTAATACAGTAATCTCACACCAACATAAAATAATAATTCAGTTGAGTCATTTAGTATTGTGAGATTTCTTGTGGAGGTGATGTTAGTACATTGCCACTTGGCACTGTTTTTCTTTGACACCAGTCCCGACCCCCATGTTGTGCATGTACTCAATGCTCATGTTATGCATATACTCATGCACAATCATGTGTGATTGATCAGTTCATGTGTGTCTGATCTGTAACCATCATCTGGCGTCATTGGAGACCGAGTTTCGTGGAAAAGCTGTCCGATTTTCAGTCCTTTTAATCTGATGGTGGTCTATTGGTTAGCACACTGGCCACCTGGCAAGCCCAGGTTCAATTCTCTCATAGGGAGTGTTCTGTGTGTTAAATATAATGTGCATTCATGCAAGTGTGTGATGTGTGTATGTATGTATGTGTATATATATATATATATATATATATATATATATATATATATATATATATATATATATATATATATGTATATATATATATATATATGTATATATATATATACACACACACACGGTATATAAAATGAAGGATGGATGGATACATACATATATGTTTAAAAATATAACCATACTGTATTATATTTGTTAATTACAGTATGTTAAGAGTCAAACTATATTGCAGATTATGAGTCTGAAGCTGGAGATGAGGATGAACTGGAGGGAGCAGAAAGCAAAGGCCAGCTAGCACAGCTTGATGATGCTACACTCAGGGAGAGAATTGCCACTATGGGAAAAGGTTAGCAAGAGAATAGTTGTTGAGCAGCATGTATTACATTAGATGTATTGTAATACAGTAGCTGTACGCATGTGAGAAACATGTGAGACTGTCAGAATTTTAGAGCTGAAAAAATTTAGGTTCCCTCTCTGCTGGTCACCTGCCCCTTTCATTAAGCTACTCTTGATGATATCATTAACTCCTTCTCATGTTGCATGCATACTTTATGGTGAAGGCTTGATTTCTTCCTTCTGGGTCATGCTTTCTGTCATTAGTGTGTTTTGAAGTAGCTGTTCTTGTAGACATGTGTTATTACATATGCCAGAAAGGATATAGGTAATTAACTCTAGCATAAATCTTCTCTTTGGCTCTTCTTAAATCTTCTCTCTATTTCTTTGGTTCTTAGTGAAATTTGTCATGCCAATTATATTTCCTTTATAGGTGTAAAATGAATTTTGGATTTAATTTTTCAACTGTCTTCCCAAGTGAAGTACCTAAGAAACATAGAGATGATTCAAACACTGTTTGCTCTTGTTTACCCAGCAGTAATTGGGTACCTGGTTGTAAAGCAATTAGAAAATCTAGTTCTGGAATAAATGAGTAAGATAAAGCATCTGGTAAGCTTTGAACAGCAACACATTTCTGCCTTATGTTGGTTTTTAATCACACTTGTGTCATAATGCATGATATTAAACACTGTACTATAAGCCATTATTTTTATTACAGTGACGATAGACTTTGCTATGGTCTCTAAAATAATGCAGGCACCCATTTATAATATAAACTTGACAATAAAGGCAGGAAATTTTATAATTAATGACATACATGTAACATTCCATTCACAATGCACCAGATTCTTGTTACATTTTCAGCATCAAGAAAGAAATTTGCACAGATAGCAAAGGTTTTTTCTCGCCGGAAGCGTACTAGTGGCCGTAGCCTTCTGCCAAGTGTTGGGCGGGACCAGCTGCTAATATCTGCTGACCCACTGATTGAAGATGATGATGATGACAGACAACCACAGGTTAGTGGTAAGCGGGTGTTATTAACAGACATCTAGAGCACTATTTAATATATACTTTATGAATGTAGATCAAACTTGATGGTGAATATCTGTTTAGTCTGTCCTTGTATGGAACACTGTTACTATGTACTATTTCAAGTGTACTGTATGAATGTAGATAATTTTTGAAGGTGAACATCTAGCTGTAGCCAGTGTTCTCATATAAAACTAAACAGTCCTAACTCATGGGCTCTCACTGAGGATTCTAAAGTGAATCTGCAATGTGAACTTTTGTACACTAACTTTCTTTATTTCTTCAGCAAATGGAGAGAGCCCTGCCCTTGTCCCCAAGACATGTACGGTAGAGAAAAGCAATGTGACGCTTGTACTGCAGTCTGAGGATTTTATGAAATATGTAATTTGAAGAGAGATCTGTTAATGTAAATAGGGATAGAAGGAACCTGTGGCTCATTGTTGTCACTCTGAGCTACTAAACATACTTTCTTAAAAAAGTCATTCAGACTAGCAGAAGCAGGCCGTCTTGTATACTGCTTTGTTAGAAGAATTATTATCAATAAGTGTTTGTTTTTCCTTCACTGTATAAAGCATATTTTTTTGCAACCTATCCTCCAAAAATAATAGTACTGTACAGTATTTATAAGGACTCTGGGGGTTTATATGTACAAAATGTGGTCTGTGGCGTAAAAAAAATCAACATTTTTTACTATTAGGCCTAGGGGAGTTTAGGTTAGATTGTTGCATTCTTTCATGGGCCCTCTACAAAATCAGTAGCACAAAATTTGAACTCTACTGGTAGAGCCTCTTGGTGGCTTCTTGAAGCTATCTTACCGAGATAATTTTCCCCTACTGAGTCATTTGAGCCATAGGAGTCTTGTATGGCCTACCAGGGACTAGAGCCAGAACATGGCCACCCACCCTGTTCCTCAGTAACCAACTGTAGTGTGTCCCACTTTTTTTCAAGATAAGTGTGTCCAACGTTCTTGTGGATGGTTTCTCTCATTTCTGTCCTATTGTCACGGAGTGGACCATTGACACTGCGTCCTTCTGTGGCTTCATTCCCTGATTGTGATGCATTGACACATTGATTCCCTTTCAATGTCATGTTTTTTTGGCTGAACTTGTTGAGGTGAGGGTGGCTCTAGCTCATCTCTTAAGAGTTCAGCTGCTGCTCCAGGTGTTGTGCAGATTTGAGATGTGGGTGATTCTTCTGGGTCCATAGTAGCCAGCTCAGCATTGGTCTCTGGCTCTTCTGGCCTGGTTCTGAACCCAGGCATTTTTCCATAGCTTCTTTCAATGGATCAGCTCAGCGACATAAATTGCTGGTTTGACCTACGCATCTGGAGTTTTTGACATGCTTACCACTATTTGTGTGGTGCGTAGCTAGCTGAATTATTGGTGTTCCACATATGTCTTTTGTTACAGCATCAGTATGAAGTTTACTGGCACCCCTTTCACCTCTTTGTCCCTTTTCATTGTCTGTTCCAGTGGGTTTGTCTTTTTTGTCTTGAATGTTTGTTGATTGGCATTTTATGCTTAATGCTGTTGCCTTTTATTGCTCAGCTTTGGCTGAACCACTGTTTTTGGCATCGATAATTACCTGAGTGTAATTACGTAAGTATTGTTACAGGATGAGAGCTACGCTTGTGGGGTCCCATCTTCCCAGTACTTTTTTTTCATATGTCTCTTTGAAACTACTACTATAATGGTTTTGACCACCACCACCTTCTCACTTGTTCCAGCTATCTACCATTCTTGTTTGTAAAAGTGAACTTTCCAATATTGTTTTGGCAACTTTGTTTCCTTAATTTGAATCTATGACCTCTTGTTATTAAATTTGCAGTTTTTAAGAATTATTCTTTGTCAATTTTGTCAATTTCTGTAACTATTTTGCATGTACCTGTAGTGACATCACCTCCTGATGTCACTACACCTGGGCACCTGACAGCTGAGTGGACAGCACTTCGGATTCGTAATCCTGAGGTTCTGGGTTCAATCCCCGGTGGAGGCGGAGACAAATGGGCAAAAAGTTTCTTTCTCCCTGATGCCCCTGTTACCTAGCAGTAAATAGGTACCTGGGAGTTAGACAGCTGCTACGGGCTGCTTCCTGGGTGTGTGTAACAAAAAGGAGGCCTGGTCGAGAGCCGGGCCGCTAAGCCCTAAAATCATCTCAAGATAACTTTTTTTTTTTTTATCTTTAGTTTCTCCTTGTAGCTCTTATTTTTCAATCCCAAAAACTATTTAATTGCATGTCTTTGCACTTTTTATCAGTTTGTTGATGTGTTCCTTGAGATACGGGCACTAGACAACTGCTGCATATTCCAACTATGGTCTCACAAAAGTTGTTTCACATATTGTTATGAATTTTCTTTCACTTTCACTCAGATCGTGCTCCTGTGCTGTCTTGGTCTCTCAATAGGATGTAGGTGGTTCTTTCCTTCCCTTGGATGATGGATGTGCTTCAGTCCAGGTTTGTTATTTTCTTAGGGCTCTATATTTGTTGACTCTCGTCACTGATTGTCGGATTTGGGGAACTTCATACTCTCCTCTGGAGATGTGGGTTCTCTTCTTTCGGCCTTGGCGGACAATTTCTTCATTTGCAGCCTTCTCCTTATTTTCTAACGAAGAATGAGACAATTGGCTTCTGGAGGGATCCTTTGGTGGTTGATTCTTGGTTTGTTTGGCTGGGGGGGGGGGATTATTTGTTGTGTCCAGGTGTAGAGGGTCATTGTTACCTGTACGCCACATGCTCTACTTTAGTGGGCATCCTGTTTGTTGGGTGGGCATGCCCTATGCCTCTGTAAGGGATGGGGGAGTCAGGTTTTGTCAGTCAGAAAGTCAGAAAGTTCAGAAAGTTTTGTCAGTCAGAGTCAGGTTTCATTATGGCCCCTGGTAGGTCAAGGTGGTGGAGGCCAAGACCGTCAGTAGTTTCAAAGCGTTATATGACAGAGTGCTGGGAAGACGGGACACCACGAGCGTAGCTCTCATCCTGTAACCACACTTAGGTAATTACAAGATTCCTATGGCTGATCATTTAGTAGGGAAAGCCATCTCAGCGATATAGCTTTAGGGAGCCACTGAGGACCTTCCAGATAGAGGTGTTTCATTACATTCAATGCTGTTTTTTAGATGCAGCAGTCCACATTTTGTACATATTTACACTGTACTCCAAAGTCACTAGATGTACTAACATTTTTGGAGGCTATGGTGTATAAATTATTGACCTTGTAATATTCCTCAATCTTTATTCATTAACTTTAATATATGTGCTTTACAGTACTTAAAACACATAGTAAATAATAATTGTAGTAAATAATTATTATGACTTTAATTTGTATAATGAAGTGCATTTATATCATCATATTGTCTTAATAATGATTTAAATGCTTTAAAACTACATGTGCTTTGCTATACAAATTCTCCTATAGTTATTTTGTTTATATGAACTCTTTGGAGTTTGGCTAAGAAAGGCATTTTATCATGTATATTGGCTTTTATTTTGAATTTTCTCTTGTTTTGATGTTGGTTAATTACCATTTCATGCAGTCATCAGTCATTCACTTCACAGAGGATTTCAGCAATGAAGAAATCCTTAATGTAAAAATGTTACATAGTTGTACAGGTGTGTAGAAAGACATAGTATATTGTAGGTTTAGGTTCTATAATACAGCAGCATTAATATACTTAAAAGTGTGACCAAGAACTTATTTGGTAGAAGTTATTTATTGTATTTATCATTACAAAATTTATACAGTAAATGATCAAGAAATCATGTAATGTATTGCAAAATTGTATACACCAATGTAGTGAAGTGTGCAGCTGTGTTCTCTTAGGGAGTATTGTATAACATGTGCCAAGTTATCTGAAGCACCTCATGGCTGCTCTCATTAGTAAAGTTAGTTTTTATAACCAGTTATATTGATCTGTTTTGTTTTAATGATAGTAATGCACTCCTATAAAAGCAACATTGTATTCAGTGTGTGGAAATACCTGTAAACTGTGTCAATTATGAAGTGCAAATTTTCATAATAAGTCTTCAGGTAGGTAAAGGGAAATAAACCTTTGAAAATTTATATCAAAACTATGATTTTAAACACTACCTCTTTAACTTGCTTACGTCTAAAACTCTGCTTCAAAACTTACTGAAGTTTGTACATGCAGTATATCATGGTAATTATAATTATCAGCAGTGTACATTATACTATGTCTTTGTCCCTTTAAGCATGTGACCAAATAATAAATAATAGCTTACTTTAAAGTATATTTAATTTTATTTATAATATATTTTTAATCGGGAAAAGAATATCAGTAAGTAATCCTTATAACATTCACCTTTGACATTTAATGCAAGCTTGTAGAGCAGTGTTGTCTTATGCAAGGCCACTAAACATGCATGCTGATGGAGTTGTTGTTCAAGAGTTGTGTGATAATGCATAAACCAATAACTTAAAATTGTATTAAGCCGAGGAAACATAATTTGGTGTGTCAGATGTTGTCTATACTGTATGTTTGCAGTGATATGTAAGATGAGATTGAATTGTAATGTTGACTAGTGTTGAAATATATATTGTTTGTGATATTAAATGCAGGGTGGTACCTGCTTTACTCCCTAGTATATTGGTCACCACATATTATTCATTATCAGACATGACCAATTTGAAATGATTGAAATATAGTATTTAAAATGACATGGATTAAATGTCAGAATTGAAACAAGTTTTGAGGTTGAGAAGAAATAACATTACACATGTTGCCAATTTTCTGTGTGTCTGCCTGTGTTTTATTAAATAAAATAAGATCAAAAGCTCTTCAATACAACAAAAATATTTGCTATACATTTATATCGTAATTTCACTCAGATTGTAGTCATGTTTTTGACAAGTTTTAAAATACACAAAATATAGTGTTGATCATTTATATATGTATATACAATACTGTATATATTATTTTTATCTTTTGCTTCTCTATATCGTTTTTAAGGTGACTTTGATATCCATACCAGCTAATGGGCACAAGGTAAGAAGAAAAAGTTGACAAGTATACAGATTAGAATGCTGTAAATTAAGTACAAGATCAAGACAATAATTTATCGTACTAAATACAAAATTTCCAGCAAGTTTGAAGGCTTATAAACTCATATATGTTAAGATCTTAAAAAGATCATTTTCGTAGTCAATTTGTATGAGAGTCAAGCTATATAGATAAAATAAAACAATAATAATAATAATAATAATAATAATGAGTAGTGTGTACATATATCTGAATGAGAGCCAGTGGTAGAATATGTTGCTCTGAGGAACCCGTCTTCCCTGTTTGCTATACTCTTACTCTGGAAAGACTAAGTCCCATAGTAAAAAAAATATATAAATAAAGCTTGAGTAATTTACATTCAAGCTTGAAGAGAATTTTTTAGTAAAGTGTTCTTTTAAAACTTGTCATATGCAATGTGTCTGAGTTGTCAAGTGTATAAGTATAGGATTCCAATTTATGTATAGTTTTATCTAGAAGACTCAACAAATATAATGTACTGTACATATAATTATTATTGATAATGGTATATGATATCAACTGATAAAAACAGTCACAATGTGTATTTGTGAAGGGAAATGCTAGAGTCAGTTGTATTGGTTCTCAGTAAGTCACAATTATATTTTGAGGTCTGCACATACATGTGTGTGTGTACATGCACATAAATGAATGTGTTTAGTTAATCTTAATAATTATAAATTAGGTTTGTCTCAGTTGAATTGAAATTTGACGTTTATATATTTGAAGCCGCCGGGTTCCGAGATAAGGCATGTATACAATTAGCACTGTACTCATTTTTATTGTAGTGTTAAGGAATGTTTTTAAAGATGTTTAATTATTTTATTTTATTTTATATAGTATAATAATTAAGTTTTCTGTAGCAAATTATTAAATTATAAATTTGGCTGTGGTTGCACTGTTATATGTAAGTCAGACAACTTTTTAATTGAATGAAACTACATATGGCAAAGTTTTATGTTATAGGATAAATTTTCAAAGATATTGCCATTTGCAAAATACTGTATTGCACCAAAGGCCTCCTGCTTTTTTGCACTTTACAACTCAACAATATTTAGTATATTAATATCCTATCATGCATTAAATATAATAAGTGGCTTTCCACTTTAAATATGATTAAATATTTCAATAAGCCACAAATGAACAAATCCACTAGGGCCGTAATGAGGGTTCGAACATACGTTTGAGAGGATTCCAGACACTTCTTAATAAACTGTGTCATGACACGGTAAAAGAATTGCAACCGGGAGTTCTACTGACCTCACACGGATCCTGCAGTCTCCGAGACATAAACCAGGGTTTTACACAATGTTGATTTTTTCTTTTAAATTTTTCTAAATTACCTTAGTTTATAAATAAAGGTGAAATAATGTAAAATAATGTGACTTATAAAAGTTATGAATTTCTTTGATTCCTGAATTGTTTCTTGTCAGGTTATAGCTTAACATTATTTTTCTAAATGTAAAAGTGGTCCAAAAGTAAATTAATGCGTGTGGACATAGATGATTCGAACCCTCATCATGAGACTTGTGGATTTGTTTACATAGATGATTGCTGTGAATTCATACAGTATTGTATTCTTACTGATGCAGCTTTCAAATGAAATTATACAGTGTGACAGTTATTTATTATATTTATACACAACCTTATTTCATCCCATCCATGGAAAGAATTTGGGTTGTATATTATTAAAAGAATTTCAAGTATATATCAGGACTTAACTGCAGTAATTATAAGATTATTTAACCAGTAGAATAACCAAAGTACTGTATTTTGTTTATTTTATTTCTGCTACATCCTAATGCCTGAAAGTCATTTCATATTAAAATTCTTTCATGTGTAATTTTTTTTTTCAAACAGCACAGTAAATGATGAATTATTGTCAATATGCCACACAATGATGGTTTGAGTAAATATTGCATTATTAACCATGGTTAAGGTCATTGGCATTACTATTCAGTAATATATTTTATTATTATTTAGACAGTCATAGAAAGAAAGTTATGTATTATACAATAGATGGTTGTATTACTGTCAATGTGCATAATGGGAAGAAATAGTGTCATTTGCATTCTGTTAAATATAATCAGTCAGTAATATACAATAATGGTCTTATTGACCAAGGAACCATAAGCTTTTTTCTTGTTAATGAAGCTCATTTCCATTAGTATATATTTAAATCAACCTAATGATAGCCATTTCAATTTGTATCTTCCTATTGGAATATGCCAAGATAATATATAGCCTGTAAAATTACTGTATAAGTAATAATATGAACGTTTGCTTGAATGTCCTAACCTCATTTATAGTCTTTATTTTGACTTACTGTGCATGACATGTAGTCTGAACATTACCATAAGTTCCACATGTAGCATATAAATATTTTGACCTCGATTGCCATTTTCTTTTAAGTTTTATGATTTACTCAATTTAGACTTCAGTGGGTTTTAAGTCAGAAGTATATTATGTATGGAAAGTAATTCCCTATATTGAGTGACAATTATGGTGTCGACAGTTTTAGCACCTTAGAATTTGGCCTTTTATCATTATGCTGTTCTATCCTGTACTATATTTGATATCTTGCAGCATTATAATGGCTGAATATGTCTATGCAGCCCCTGCTGTAAATGCTTCAAAGTTTTTACCGCATTGCTAAGAATACATGTTCATAATATGGGATATACTTAAGTGGCTGTGATTCCACAAAGGAACCTTTGTGTTGGCTTTGAATCCTCTCTTACATAAGAGGGGCTCAAGTGCAGAATATGTATAGGTGTACTGATAATATGGGTGGGTTTTGTTTAAAAAAAAAAAAGTTATTTAAATTATGTGAGGGTTTAATTTTCCATTAGAATACTGATGTATTTTATTTCAAAGAAATAGACTGACATAATCAAAATAGTTGGTATATATTAAAATAGTGGCTACTACAAAGAACAGTTAATATTTTTTTAAGCAGTTGTTTGTCATATTTAATAAAAAACAATATATTAAATAGTGTTAAAGATATAGACAAACATTCAAAGCATTGAGTGCTAGTCTAGTTTATCAAAGATAGGAATTTGTATACTCTGTTTTTTAATGAGAAGAAACACACATAGTAATAGCAGGAATGTAATGTTAATCGAGTCTGTAGAGCTGCTGAAATCCACATTTTAATTTGTCTTTAAACCATACTGTACAAATGTTTTTATTTCAACTTTATTGAAAACAAATTTTGTCCATACTGTAGTATAAAAGGAAAATAAAGCCAATTGTAAATAGAGAAATGCAGCCTTTGTATTGCAAGACTATGCTTTGGGGGGGCCACATGAAATAATAATACAGTATTTTTACTCGTGAGAATTAAAAATACAGCATATCTAAAATCCAAGTTTTCCATATTCTGTAATAACCATTTGACATTAGAAACTTTAAAGAAATAGAAAGCACAGTTTAAATCAGTTGAAAGCAGAGTTGTAAATTAAATAGGAAAATCTGTTGGTTTAAACTGGTAGTGTGGGTGTTTATCTCAATGAAGGCAAGGTACACATTTGGCCAGATACTGTATTATAGATGTAAGAATGCCGCTTCCTTTCAGAGTTCACCTAAATGTTCAATCATATCAATATCCATTTACTGTATTTCATTTGTTGCAAGTCTGTAAATTGTTTTATGTAAACCTAGATAGATTTGTATGAAACATTACCTCATAAACAAGAAAATATTAATTTATGTGCTTACCAAGTTGTATGATTATACATGCTTCCATGCATGTATGTGAATGCATACAGGCATTCATGTGTGTATACACACTGTATATTAAAAGAACCACATGAATATAATAACTGGTTTTTAATTAACTTTCAGTAGACTAATTACTTTCTAATTACCCGCTGTTACAACAGATTCAGATAGACACTGCACTGTATATCAATATCCTCTACATATTTCAATAATTACTATAATATTCTAAATGCATTTTCTAATTTTAAAACGTATAATTTAGGATGTAATCAATTATTTAGCGAGTGTTTACTATACGCATTATTTTACTCACGAATTTTGTAATTACAGTAATTGGAACTTTAGGATATAATTGATTACTCAAGTTTTGATTTCTGTCTTTTATACGAGCATCAACTTCTACAATCACTGGAGAGATGGATATCTACCTCGAGACAAATTATGCAACATCAGATGTGACCTAATCCTGTTGCTTTCTTCAGCACAAAAATAGGAAGCAAGAAGCGTCTCCAGCTGGGTTATGCAATGGCCACATAAGATTAACAGGCAACTAATACTATAATAATAACAATAATAATAAAATAAAAAAAGACCCACTTACTGTGAGAACTGCAGCATTCTGCTTAAAATTACTCATCTGGTGGAATGTTCCAATTTTCAGGATCCAAAATTAAAAATTTTCACTGATCCATTGATATTACTCATATTGACATCTTAATATTTAGGAACACTAATATTCTGTGACATAGACAGTGCTATATAGTTTTCCAGACTTGGCACCATTTGATAATTACACGTTTTATTTTGCAACCTAAAACATCTTATTAAATGCACTTATTACATTATTGCTGTGATTTGTGCATTAATTGTAAATACCGGGGGTAGCTATTGATGAACTCAGCTAGCTTGGAATTGTTAATGATCTTCTAATCTCTGGGTTGATTAACAATTCTATAAACCAAGTATACAAAACCTCATCTTCATAACATATGAATTTAGTCTGCATGGTGAATTTGAAAGTTTTATATTTACAAGTGAAATTATCCAAATTCTGTCCTTTTGATGGGAAGTTGCCTATGAATTTGTCTATACACAAGTGGTTCTTGTAGTATTTCTCAAATGACAACTATATCATTGTAATATGTTGGACACAATCAAGATTTGAAAAGACTAAAGTTACTGTATTCAGTGACATTTCAGTTTAAATAATTTTAGGAATTCCTTAGAAAATGCTACGAATGCAATTTAACTATGAAATTCACTTGAATCTTATTAAATTTGATGCCTAGTTAAAGAACAATGTCATTTACTAGCTATCCAACTTATCTCGTATGAACCGTACTAAGTATCTTGAGCTAATTCTGAGTATACTGTAATTTAACCTATTACTTTTTCATCAGAAATGTTTCTGCATTTGTATATGAGCAAAGAGCTGTTCAAGTGTTTTTAACTACATTTAAATCAGAATCAGTGCATGTTTCAAATGTATTGGCAGCAAAATGTTTAAATTCCAAGCAGCTTAATGTTAATCAACTACATTGATACATTTGTAAATCTTTCTTTTTATGCAGACATCTGTGAGTAGAATGGCTAAAAGTAATTTTTAAAATTTTTATTCCTCAAATACTGTTTGTTAATTGTCTTAAGTTTTATTACCACAAAAGACATTAGCTTAAAGATACCCTTCCCCTCTGCATCAACAAATCACAGGTAAACAGTACCCATGTTCTCTGCCTGTATGAATATCAAATGGAAATTAAAATCGATTACTGCTTTAATTTCTTTTATTAATATATCAAACCTATAGCCCATATCATGTCAAGTCATTCAATGGCCTAGTGACCCTAGAGATCAATTTGAAAAATATGCAATTGCATAAGTGACAATGTTAACATATTCTTGGCTAGAACCTTAAAAAGCAGACATTTATACAATACAGTAATACTGTATAGTTATCTATACATATTCTACTGTTTTAAAACCAGGATTGTATAACTGTCAGATCTTAAAGCTCTGCCAAAGAAATAATAAGGATTTATATAGCTATTTACAGAAAAAAAAGATGTCTCGACATTATAAATGTACTCGCCTAGTACAGTAGTGCTACTCAGCTAGTGGTAATGACATTATATTCATCGAGTCAAACTATGAGAATAAGATGGTCAACCAGAATGTTATTCATAAATGTTGCTCATGAATATTTTTATCACAATTTCACATGCAATGCTCTTCATAATATTTTGCATGTAAATACAGCCAAAAGACTATCAGTTAAGTCAATACTGCATATACAACATCTTAAATGCAACTTGTCTCCATCACATACAGTATCTCATTTCTATATAGGAATTTCCTTAGATAACAAGCAATGCAAGAAACACTTACTTGGCAGCATTAAACCTTGCTGCAATATCCTTCCAATTTGCAACTTTCCATATTGCATTTACATAATCTGGCCGCACATTTTTATACTGCAGGTAGTATGCATGTTCCCACACATCAATTCCAAAGAGGGGTACTAGGCCAGTAGTTGCTTCCAATGGATCCTGAAAATTATTATTTATAAATAACCAATAGGTATGGCTATATTAGCCTTCTAACCTCAAGAAGCAGCAATGATTCAATTTGAAGTTACAGGTAACATGCTTAATTAGTACATCATTAAAACATGAGTAATATCTCAAGCTGGCAAAATGTGTCTCAGTATAACGAAAGATGGAAAAAAAATAGGATACATTTAGAAATATGGAGAACGTGAACCTTTAGCCTGCAACAACATTTTTTTGGTCCTATCTCTACTGAGGGCCAAAATGCATACTAAAATAATATTTTGAAACACACAAATTGAATTTTCTAGCAAGAAAAACATCTTAGCAGAGCCGATGGTGTTAAAATATATTTATACATATTATTCATTACCTGGCACTCTTACATATGCTTCAGTTTCTGGTCTGCGCCACTCTTCAATCTCAACATAGACATTACCGCCTCTCATCCCTTGCTCCAGTATACTCGAAAATTCTATTATCTGCCTTCCCTCTATACATGTCCAAATCTCAACAGTACCCCAATAAAGAATTTAAAATTCTACCCATTTTGGTTTCTCATCCCCTTGCATTTCTAAATACTGTAGTGTACTATACTACATTCACCAGGCTGTACTGCATTTCTGCCATCGATTACCATACACTATTGAAGACTAAGATAAAAATGTTGTGAAATTGGTAAACCAAATAAGATAAACATCTTGTTTGATTTCCATCATAAAGAGAAAGATCCTGATATTAATGCAATTAATGAAAATACATTTGCATGACTGCATTTCATTTTTAAATTACACATAACTGAATAATTTTTTACCTGATTAGGACATGTGGCAATCTGCAAATTCTTTTTCTGTTTATTATAGCCCAGCCAACCCCATCCTGAACCTTGTACTGCTACTGTTGCTGCAGACAGCTGACTCTTCAAAGCATCAAGGTTTCCAAAGTCACGGTTGATAGCTGCCAGCAATTCCCCTATATATAAAGCTTTATGAGCAGTTGAAACTTGCAGTGAACAACAATTACAACACCAAAATCTTGAATGCTGATCATGTTCACTTGTCACTTTGAATCTCAAAACTAAATATAAAGCAAGAATATGTATAGTATGGTACTTCTATGGAAAATGTTCCAATGCCGACATACCATATTGTACTGTACTTACATTGTGTGTGTGATATGGATGAATTACTATACCAAGAAATAATAAACAATAGGTTTAATATACAAAGATTAATCATCACTCACAGTGTAAGCACATTGTGATTATGATTTCTTGAAATAGTTTGTGCTGACTTGTGTAAGGATGAGGAGACTGATATTAACAAAAGTAAATTCAGGCATTAAAACAACAGAAATGGACAATCTGGGGAGCATGTGTGTCGATTTTGGAGAAAAGAGCAAGGAATACAAATGTCATTAAGACAAGTAGAGTATAAATGAAGAGTGTATCGAGATGGTTTGGACATGTTGAATTACTGGATGGTGGTAAACTGGCTATGAGCTTGACAATTTAAAGTATAGTAAAGATGGATAGATGGTCATACATGGTGAATAAGTGTGAGAGGAATTGGAGAATGAATGTGAATAACATGATACATGGCAAGGAATAGAGCCAAGTGGAGGGTGTTTAAAAGTACCACATGTTTTTACTGTACAATACTGTATGTGTCAATTTCTGATCAGCTATTTACACGTGGTCTTATGAAAAAGTGGGTTACTGCAGTAAGTGACCTATTTTATAATATTATAACCTTTGCTATATTATTCATTTCTTCCTCAGGATGATGCCTTTCCCATGGCATACATGGAAAATAGGGGTAATAATAATGAATGAAAAAAAAATGTAATTTTGGAAGTTTGGTGAACCCATTAAATTACTTAAAAACTTGATAAAGTCTTCAAGCTTATACTCCATTGAAGGTCAAAATAAAACATGCTTGTGGGCAAAGTTTCACCATACCTTCTGGTTCTCCTCCATCTGGTGACAAATTCTTCCAAAATATGGAGTGGTTTATGTGGCCACCGCCATTAAATTTCAATGCAGGAGCAAGGGATATAACAGTACTAATATCACCTGTCAAAAACAAGATAGTTTAGCGGTCAATCATTCAATGATGCTAATTTGATTTTGCAGTAAAGAAATTCCAACATTAAGATCCATTATCAAAGAACAAGAATAATGCCATTATAACCTGTTATGTATAGAATTTAACAAACAGTATTTAATTAAATGGAACATGTACCATACAGTAATTCATTACGAGTTTGAACAAAGCTTCTAATAAATATGTAGGCAAATTAAGTACGAGTTTTCTACAAAGAAATGAACGTCTATTCAGCAAACAATAGACCTAAATTTTGTGAAAGAGGGCTGATCATTTGGGAAGATGATCTTCACCCTTATACTGTATGAAATTGCACTCAACCTTCATATTTTGTATAATCTGTATCTTATACCCCTTGTAATTGCTTCCAAAGATACAGTAAAGTACATTAAAATATATTGTAGACCAAAACAAGGTCTGGTTTGCCTAATATCCAAAGCATTTTTTATATTCCTTATATCATTGTAAAAATAAAAAAGTCATTTCAACATTTTAATGAAATAAACATGCTGTACTATATTTACCCAAGATCATTCAATCTTGGCATCATCAGTGGCATTGATGGGGGGGACAGGAAGCTGGCAGATTGTCAAAATTTCCCACCCCCTTCATTATTCCTGAGCATTTTTCAGCGGAATTTTAAATTGAAGTACAGTACTGTACTGTAATGTCATAGCATTTATGGCTCCAACAAATAGGCGAGTCTATGGGGTTACTGTATTACCAAATGGGTAAAAGTACTGTACTGTAATAATCAAAAGACACCAAGTCAGGAAGACTAGCACACAGTTTAGGGGTATTCAAAAGATCTTAAATATCACCTAGGAAGACAATATGAGAGCAAAAATACATGAAGCAAGAGATGCCGAAGGCAGTGAATTCACCAAGGATGCTACCAAAGGGACGAGTTGCCGAGACATTAGGAAAGCAAGACTTGCTATCATCCTGAAAATAACATTCAACGAGCTGGTATGTAATCAAGCAGTGCATGTGGCCTGATATGCCACCTATTATAGTGGTATGAGGAAGGCCATTATAGGGAGAGGTCACATTTAAGATACACAGTTTATCTGCCAGACCAGTGACCTTGCCAACAGTTCCAGATTGCAATATGAATGACTAGGATCCTCCATTGGAGCAAGGTAGAAACAAAACAAGGGGAAACATTGTAGATGTGTACAGTACTGTATTGAAAGGGAATCCTTTAAACAGCCAATCCTCTTAATAAAAGAAAGAAAGAGGAAACTGGTGGTCAGCAGTGTTACAATGACCACACAAATTACCAAGGGCAGTAACAATTGCAATGATCCTGTAGAGACAGAAGAATGGTTTCAACATATAATCTCAGGATAAAGGTTGAAAGGAAATGCACCAAAGCAGAGGCACAACCCTAGATAATGCAGAGAACTGAGACAATGAAGTTTAAGATGAAGCCAAGGAATATTCAGGACAGCCATAGCCTAGTTTAGATAGCAAAAGTTTTACAATTAACCTAATTTTTTCCCACCAAGAATGTTAGTAAGATTTCAAAGACCAGTGGCTTTATCCTATCAAAGAGCATAGTGCTGATAATAATGTAAAGAAACAGCAGACCATTTATGGATGATAAAATAAATGAACACTTGATATTGTTAATATTTTATACTGTACAGCCATCTTTTGCAATACAAAATTTACCTCTTTTACGATGAGCTGATGCCTCCCACCTATGGAAGTGGCAAACATGATAATGTACTGTATCAATTATTATAAATAAGACAATTATTATAAATAAGACAATTTAAACTGCAATTTTGCTCAATAGCTTTTGTGTATATTTTAACACTACTGTACTTCAGAAACAATTGCACATGCAAATAAATTTTTTAAATATAAAATGCCTCTACAGTTTATTGTGCCAGGAATTTTTAAATAAATAAAATAAAACAAAATACAGTACTACAAACTTTTAGCCTTAGCTTCTGCTAATTTATCTTCAGCAATATTAAGATTGTTGATGTAAGTTTGGTGGTGCTTGGAGTGATGAAGTTGCATAATTTCTGCACTGATGGTTGGTTCTAGAGCATTGTAATCATAAGGCAGGTCAGGCAGTGTGTGCTTCTGGAGGCATCTTACTCCAGCAGCAGCCAGTCTGAAAGTACAGTACATTACGATGCCACTTTAAGAATGACATGTGAATCACTCATAAAATGTTCCACACATGATTTACATAAATACACCTGATTTTGAGGTGAGGATAGTTTTTCCACAGTAGCTTCTTTTAAATTTAGGCAAAATAAAAAAGTACTGAAATTATAGAGAAAAGCTAGGGCTAAGCTGGTATAGTTATACTGTACAGCAATTCGAGCAGATCAATGTTTTGTGACAAAAATTTTGTGCAAGCAGAGAAGTCTTGTAGACTGGGGTGATTTAGTTCAAGGATAAGGTAATTTATCTAGAGAAAGTGCTAAGTCAGTATGACTACAGTATTTAGCACTTGGAAGGGATACGAGGACAAGTAATGAATGACTCCAATTCTCAACTGTATGTCCCGAGTATGAATCCCAGATATAGTGGAAACAAATTGGCAGCATTTCCTTTTACCTCATGCCTTTGTTCACCTAGCAGTAAATAAATATCTGGAAATTAGTTTCTGGAGGCTGCATCCTGAGGATAGCTTTTACAACTTGCTTTCATTGAGACCTGAGAATGAAGTTTTTGGTTATATTTTTTTCTATCCTATACAGGGCAATCTCAATTCAACTATATAGGACCAACCCCATTTCGTTGCAGTGAGGAATTTGTTGCAACTGACAATGTCTCCAGGATACATTTCCCACAGCCCTATGGGCTGATTTCACTTAGCAAAATTACAATTTCAACCTGTCATATGAAGGGCAACAACCAAGACGTGTCTGTAAAAGATTTAACCACATCTAGCATATTTCCTACGCTCAAGCCTTGAAATCTCATTTTCAAAGGAAAGAGGGCCCATATTTTACTGAACAAAATATTCTGCAACTGAAAAAAACCCAAAGAATTTGGTTATAAATATACTCAGTGGCAGCATCCCCAAGGCTCCAACTATTTCTTATAATGTCGCCTCCATCTATGTACAGTACTTGGTCCCAACATCCTAAGCAAATCCACAAATTCCCCACTTCAGTGAACTACTCTTCATTGAAATGGCCGAGTACAGTAAATCTGGCACGGAATGTGTGTGTTCTAACTGGAGATTTGCTGAATTGAGGTTTGTTAAATACAGATTTCACTGCAAGGAGTTAGTTACGTTTATTGTCATGTCCGTTGGGGTTTTGTATTGTATTGTATTGCTGCAAGGTCAATGTTGAGGGTTTGTATTGCTGCAAGTACAATGTCAATTATGAAATTATCCTATGTTAGGACGGAAAAAACTTCGGTATTTCTTCTTGAAAAATCATATCTTAATTAAAAGTTAAGGACATATTAGGTAGTGCAATTTAGTGGGTAGTGAATTAAAAGCTGCGTGATTATCCCCACACTTACGACAACAATCTGGATAATGTCTCTGGCAATGAATACAATAGTTAGCGACTTCGCATTGATACATATTACCATGGTTATAGGAAAGTGACAATTACTACTAGCACTGACACTAGTAAAACTAAATATCACCATCACTAGCACGAATTCATGATGTTTTAGAAAAGTTGGTTAGAGTCGTGTCGTGGGAGTCAAATGCACCTCACAGGGCGCTGAGACAAGCAAGGCATTAGAGCGACGAAGATTTAGAGAGAGTGAAGGAGGAAGACTGTACCGTGGAGTGCTAGATATGGTGCGGAGAGCGAGCATGGTGAGACCTGCGGTCGCCCTCGACCCAGCAGACGATGTGAGCCGCTCGTTCCAACACTCCGGTCACCTTCCCTCTCTGCTCCCCCATATTATCCCTCATACTCCATCATTACACACTCCTTGGGGACATTTTGCTCTCGATAATTACAGTGGATATTTATTGTACCAGTTTTCTTTGCTATAAGGTGTTTACAAATCTAAATTCTCAAAACTATTTTAAATTTATTTGTTTTCTTGTTGCTTATTTGGATTATATTTAATAAACAGATATATATTTATTATTTCCTATGCCACAAATATATTTTAATGTTAAATATTCAGAAAGTTAATGATATCTATGCAAATCTTTTGGATTTAAAAGACTTGGCATGTCGCAGAGTTACAATTAGTAAAGTTTGGGTTTGTGGAATATGTGGTCAAGGAGTCATTAATATTTATTTTACCAGTTTGTGATACAATATACGTGAACCCTTGTGTGAGCGGCGGTTAAGTAGCATCCCATGGATTATAGTGAGTGCGGGAGTTGAGTGTAGTGCTTAAATTACGTCATAAATCTAGTGAAGATGACATATTGAGTCCGGCGGTGACGGAACATGGCGTCGCTATGTACACGGATATCGATATAAACTCACGATAACGTTCCACTGTGAGCTCAGGTAAGCCAACGTTGGCCTCCCTCGCCAGGGCCCACACTCACTCCAGACGAGGCACTGGGGGAAGGTGGCGCCTGGAAGTGGGGTAGGGGGGAGAGGTAGCTGGTTAGGGTTGTGGTAGATGGTGGTGGTTGAGGGGGGAGGGCAGCTGGTAGCCGCCCCCATAACCCCTCCCCTGACCTCACTTCCCAACTGTCACTTACTAAATATTACCTCCTCACGGTTGACGGTAATATACTGACACATTACGTCTACACCAGCTGGTTTGCTTTGTCACTTATCTGAAATTTTTGTACTTAGCTAACCTAGTTCATGGTGGTTGTCTTGCTCTGTATATTTATAATTGTATTTTAATTTATGTACAAAATATTGCATATTGTATTGCTGGGGGATGAGAGGCATGTGTGTAGTGTTTCATGACCTGAGGGCGCACACTGCTGCAGCCCAGGCTTTGAGGTTAGTTCAGATGTTATCAGCTTAACACCTTCATAGATTGCAAAAGATGTTGTCCACTATCACTGATGTTATGCTACTAATACATTATTAGGGGAGCTATTTTGCTGTTTATTAAAAATATTACTTGCATCATGCACCAGTGATGATGTCACTTCTTGGTTTATGTTATGTTAGACTAGGTTCACATTGGTTAAGCAAAGTTATTTTTTAGTTTGGGCCAAACCTCATAAAGATTGAATTATCCTGAAACTAGCTTAGATTAGGGTAAAGATGAAGATATCAAACAAATTAATGCAAGTTGTTGGTGTTAAAGTCTGATAGTAAAAGAAACTACTTACAGGTGGTATGTATTAAGAGGTTTTATCTATAAAATGGTGCCACAATCATATCTGTATATTTAATGATAATTTAGATATTAATCAAAATATGTAGGTAATGGAATGTATGACAGCTCAGTGTCTGGCCCTCCCTAGTTCCTGTATTCAGATGGCTAGTTGTATAGCCTCATGTAAGAGAATTGCTAGTTGAACCATTTATTTTATGACCTTTTAGTTTAAATATTATTACGCAAAATGCTTATAATAGAATGTCTTGTTCGTGGGTGCTCAGTCCTTTGGGGGGGGGGCTGAACAAAGGTATCCCAGGGGCTGCAAATTGGCATTAGGTACAATAGTGTTCAGTGGTTCAATCCTTGTTAACCACCCATGTTAAGTACAGTGTACTTAACATGGCAGCAAGGGGCTGTTGCTTTTGTCTCTCCATTCAAAACAGCTATTGATGAGATTTAATTTCTTTAAAAGATAAGAGAATGTTTTTGGGTATAGAAGGTTCAAAGAAGGCGTGCCAGCAGAGAAAAGTTGTAAATATGATGAGTAAAAAAATATTTTAGAGGGTTTGAGAAGAATTTTTAATGATAAAGCCAGCAGAGGGGGACAAAAGCATAAAAGTAAATAACCTTGGGTTCATTACACTAATACCTGTAGTACAGTATTAGACAATACAATTGGCTTCACACTGATAGACCAATTAGACAAGGGAAGTAACAAGACCAGACAAATGGTTTTTGAGAGAAAGTGATATTGACATTAAGGGTAAGTTGATATGCAAATTTAAAGTAACATTAGAAAGGAAGGAGGGATTCCTTAGGAAGAAGGTAGGGATTCCGATAATTTAGTTTTGCTAAGGTGTAGTCGGGAATAATCGGATATCGAGCAATTGGTAACAGTTGTCAACTTTACAAATATTGGAAAGATAATGGAACATGTTCAGTAGGAAAAATTTTATGTATGCAAGGGATGGGGTGCTACGTAGTCGCCTAGTTCACATTCTAGGGAAAGGGTGATATCATTGGCGGACTCGAAAGAGGCAGCACTGTGTAGAACTTCTAAACTGTTAAAGGTCTGGGTGTGTGTTGGGAAAGTAAGGAAGAGTAATATTGTAGGAGGAATAACTTAAGTTATAGTCTGTCTATAGTAATACTGTAGTCTGATACTGGTAGGGGAACAACAAATAAATGTTTACTATACAAACAGCAATAGTCTTAGGAATAAGATGGATGACAACTGAGCATTTGTATGTACAGAAGTTTACCTCAGGGGTGCTAACACTAGTGGACTCGACGAGGACAGGAAGCCTACGGCTTGTTGAAGGTCCCCCCCATTTGCCTTGATAATCTTTTCCAGTTTAATTTTGAAATTCAACAGTCTTTGCATTTATGGCTTTGACGGGTAGGCGGTTCCATGGGTTTATAACTCTATTAGTGAAAAAGCATCTCCTGTTCATAGTCCTACAATGTGGCTTGTCGAGCTTGAAACCGTTGCTCTTTGTTTGTGTTACATTTGACCTTTTGAAGAAATTTTCTGGATCAACATCCACCAAATTGTTCAGTACTGTATTTTAAAAGTTTCAATGAGATCTGCCCTGTCATGCCTGGTTTGCAGTGTTGCTATCCCTGTGGTGGTCAACAGAAGTGTAAAGTTGTTCCTTATTAGGGAAAATACAGTACTGTGTAAAGAAAACAAATATGACTCAAACTTTTCTGGCAGGTAATTTGCAAAGCATAGTGAAAATTCTTAAGCAATTATCATCTTCAGTGATAAATAGTTGGCTGAGATGTTATCTGGACAGTCCCTGATAAGCTATGCCAACACTGCTCCCCCCGAAAATTAAAACAAGTGTATTAGAAATTTCGAGATGAATGACACATTTTAGCATTGGAACAGTCATTGTCGGAGTACAGAAGACTTATTATAGCATTATTGGAATGCTACTGTGTTAATATGGTGGATACTCGCAAATGAACATTTGGCGGAAAATCTTTGTGCATATGATTTATGAGAAATGTAAAGAAAATATAATACTGTAATATTTTAATTATCAAAATAAAGGTATTTCAAATGAAGTTTGGATATTTATTCCTTTCAGCTAGATGTAGGAAATTAATGTAGAGTGGGTCTCCAGACATTAACCTGTACCATACCTTTTACTTGATTTTAAGAGATCTACCTTATTTGGTAATACCTTACTCCTGTCAAGCTGCTGCTTACAGTGGCCTGCAGACCCACATATCTACTACAGCCCAGCTCCACCAGTACTTAATGCAGGACTCTCTTTTGGTGCCTATGGCATGTCTATTCTTCTGTCTATTCTGCACTTTTCATGATATCTTTCTCTACAGGAAGTTACTGTATCCTACCTGTTTGGGACCCTGACATGAAAATTAACTCTCCAAATCACCTGGGGAACAAACCAATTCAAAGAGAAATACAGCTGTACTATGCTACATTGCATATACAAATCAGATGTTTACACAAGCTGGTTACTATGCGATACTGTATGGCCATCCTGGGCATATCCAATTGCCCCTTAGAATGATTGGTCTGTTACATGTCTAATAGGCTTTGTATATTGTACTATCTTGTGGTTACCTTGCATTGATTTTGGAAATAAATGTCCCCATGGCCCGGTCTCTGATCAGGCTTCCTGGTTGATGGAAGTTGTTGATGGTTGATGGAAAATAATATGGTCAACCAGGCTGTTAATCATATTATTTTCACAAACCAGGTTCCTCCACCCATGCATTAATAAAAAAAAAAAATCCACCCTCCCATCTACATAACCACCCAAACACCCACACAGGCAATTTAGGCACCTGGGTATGGAGATTGGCACAAATTCACATCACAAGGAAGGGCAGAAGCATTGCAAAAAAAGGGTAAATTAAAGAACGAGAAGATTTCTGTCTGGTGTAAAATTATCAAAGGGCAGAAATGGGCTCATTTCTTCAAAGAGAATAGCAGATTGTCAGCCAACTAGGAGGAATACGAGACCTCATAGCATATCTATAAATGGCAGTGGAACTGAACTCGAAAACATTGAGTCCATTTCCAAAACAATGTCCTGGTTCCCGAGTAAAAACTATAGTGTCACACTGGCCAAAGAAGGCAAGTGGGGGAATCTTTGTACTGGGGAGACAAATTCAGACTTCAAACATTGACTCTGAAACGTAACTGGAATAAAGGACAATAATGGGAACTAATCGAAACCCAAGGAAAAGCTCAGTACTCCAAGTTCTTGCATCAGTGCTTTTTATTCTCATATCAGATGTGGACAAAAATACAAAACATAGCTTCACATCATCCATTGAAGACTATACAAAAATTAACATGAAAATGACTGTACTTTGTAAAAGACATTGGAAAAACTAGCTCATATCAATAATGTCTTCGATTGGACAACGGAAAAAATACAGTATGGTGTTTTAACAGTGAAAAATTCCAGATACTTGGCCATGGTAAAAATGAACTTAAACATAATACTGTACAGGGTACAAGACACTCTGATCTCATAGAATGAAAACATGTTAAGGTATGGGACTAATGATGTCAGATTACTTAAATGTTTAGTGAGCGTAACAAAGCAAATATATATAGCACTAGTCAGAAAAATTACAGGGTGGATTATGAGAACCTTCAAATCCAGGGATTTCATAATGTTCTTACTATTCAAGTTATTTATTTTGTTCCATTTTGAGTACTGCTTGGAACTATTTTCCACCTTTCAGAGCAGAGGAAATTTCCAAAATAGAATTCAGAGAAAATGCATGGCATGCATAGACACGATAAAGCCCCTAAATTATTGGGACCATCTTAAAGCTCTAAAAATGTACTCTGTAGAAAGGAGACAAGAGAGGCATCACATATACTTCGAAGATACTGGAATGCCAGGTCCCAAATCTACCCAGTAAAATAACGACATACAGTAATAGGATGAACTTATGGCAGAAAATGCAGAATAGGATCAGTGAAGAGTAGAGGTGTTATAGGAACAGTCGGAGACGAGTACTGCATAAACATTGGAGGTCCACAGCTTTTCAGTATCCTCCCTACAAACATAAGAAATGTAGTATTCCTGGAAACAAAAGTGGATGTGTAGCCTTGGCTTGGGGAGTAGATGAACTCTCAGAACCCACTTCAGGTACACTCCAGGGTGACCTGACCTACCACCTACCATTTACAGTAGTTTTTTACATTATGCAAACTACTGCTTCCCATGTTTCCAATTTTTTTCTCATCAATATTCGGTGTACAGGTATTTTGTAATTTCTGGTCAGATTTATTTAGTTATAAGGTTCACCTTAGATACTTGTGTGCTTCATACCTCTGTGAGCATGCCAGATTTTGGTCCTGGTGTTCATTAGGCCTGTGCAAATCAAGCGTCTGTGGTACCAAAGCTCAAGAACTGGAGAGCTGCCGAGGGCCAGCCTAGAAAGTGTGCAGTACAGTACACTGTACAGTAATAATAGTGTATTCTCTTCCATACAGAGTGGTAGATAGATGAAAATTAGAGGGTATATGATTGGAGGTTATTGACATTTATAATGTTACATATGAAAAATGCTGTATGTACTGTGTTATTTACTAGACATAAGTTATTTTGCTATATTACAGTATGAGTGGAGACGGAGGGGAGGAGGACCAAGTGGTGAAAGTGGAGGCCACAACTCCTGCTGCTACCAGTACATCTACAGCCACTGTCACCACTGTGACCAATGGTACCTCCAGCACAAGAGCATCAACGCCTCCAACAGATGCTGTGACCCCATTAACGCCACCACCCTCATGTGCTGCATCAACTCCAAGCACCAACAATAATGATACGCCAACATCGGCATCAGCAACGCCAACTTGTGCCCAGCCAACAGCAGTAGGAACAACTACAGCTGCTGCTAGTATTGCCACAACAACTACTACCATAGCAACAGCAGTAATTAACAAGGAAAAAGCAGAGGAGGAGGAAGTGGAAGAAGAGAACACTGCAGATGAACCAAGTAGCGCTCCAGAACAAGTCCACATCTCTACAGAGCAGTTAGCACTTTTATCAAAGGAGGAGCTGGTAGAAAAATGGTTACAGCAAGATAAATTTGTGGAGAGTATACAGAGCAGAATGGAAGCAATGGAAAGAGAAGGTAGGTGAACAGTTGGTTTGAATTGCTCCTAATTTTATATAGTTCTCTTTAGTATCAATTTATAAATTCAGCTGAGACCTCTATTGTCATGGTATTTGATTTGAGGAGCCATATCTACATGATGGTTTCAAGTCTTAAATTTGGAGTTATATGAGATATGGTTGATAATGTCTCGATTTGGAGTTATATGAGATGGCATTACACAAGGTAAGGGTGCAAGATGATTAGCCTACAGTAATCACTATGGTCCCTATGTACTGTTTAAGGAAAAGGGTATTAGGGAGGAATGTAGAAATTATACAGTACAGTATGTGGTTTAGTTTGCTTAGTATCCCAGAAATATTTTGTGTCAGGGTGCAAATTGAAAGAGTAAGAGAGCTAACAGTATTGGATAAGGGAGGAACAGGATGGATCTAGAAAGGGAAAGGGTATGACTATTGACCATGAAACCTTGCGAGTGGATTTTAAAGATTTTTAATTGGAGAGGGTTTATTTAACTAGTAAAATCTTTTATATGACTAGCAGAGTGTATGTTAATCAGGGAAAATAATAGATAATTTCAATGATGGGATGGGTGTAGATGGTGAATTATTTATATACAGTAGTATGTGTAAAAGAAAAAAGTTTAAGTTTAGTGTAGGAAAAAGTAAGATTATGGCATTTAAGAGGGGGAAATGTGTCAAATTTTATTGGCCCTTAATGGCAAGACACAGAGATTTAAAATTAACGATAAAATTGAGATATAAGGTAATAGGTTTAAAATACTTCAATACTTGGTAACAGTGTTAGATAAAAATTGTAGTATGGAAGATGAAATAAAGAGTAATTAACGAAAAGAGATTGGTATAATAAAAAGAATAAATGTTGGTATGGGAGTCAATAAGGACTGAAAGATAGTATTCCCTGTTCTGGTATGTGGAAGTGAAACTTGGGTAGGGGAAGAGCAGTGAAAATGTAAGTTTTCAGAGAAGAACAGTTTGCATAAGTTTGAGATGGATATAGTAATTAGGAATCATATGAAATGTGATGTGGAAAGGGTGAAGCATAATACTTGGTATGCAGATGTTAGTAGGATGCCTGAGAATCATTTATCAAAAAAAGTGTACAGTATCACACACAGAGATCACACTAACGTGATGCATCAAATGAACAAATCCACAAGGGCCGTGACGAGGATTCGAACCTGCGTCCGGGAGCATCCCAGACACTGCCTTAATCGACTGAGCTACGACAGGGTTAAAAGGGTTGAAACCGTAGCCTCTCCGAGGCACAAACCAGGCTTTTAGGGGTTGTGTAAAAGCCTGGTTTGTGCCTCGGAGAGGCTACGAGATCCAGTAAGTTCAGTAGAGCTTCGATTTCAACCCTTTTAACCCTGTCGTAGCTCAGTCGATTAAGGCAGTGTCTGGGATGCTCCCGGACGCAGGTTCGAATCCTCGTCACGGCCCTTGTGGATTTGTTCAGGGTGTACAGTACAAGGGATCACATGGTAGCTGACAATTTCTTTTCTTGGAAGTGGAGAGTGGAATAATACATGAAAGAGTTAGGGAGGGATTAAAGAACTTGAACGTGTAAATGGTTTGTGTTTGTATAGAGCCTTCTATAGAAACTTATGGCCACCCTCTGATGGGTAGTAAGGTGATGTCACTGTAGACAGTACAAGGCAGTTTGTTATGTACAGTACAGTAATATGAAAACACGCACACTTTAGTGCTGGAACATTGGGAGGTGTAAATGCACCAGGTACAGTAGCTATGAAGTAAGACTCTTAGAATTAGATCTCACTTACCATGCACTCAGCTAGGTAAATATACATGCATACATAAATATGGTAAAGCTTCATTTTGTATACAAACACCAATGCTATCTACAAAGCATGTCTGCTTTCATCTTGGTATTTATGCATTGTTGTCTGTTCTTTGTGCTCTTCTCAAACGCCCTCTTTTCTGTGGGGGAGCCCCGTCGGCTCCTTGAACTATCCGAACTGATATGTACTATATTAGTTTGGTCATCAGTCACAGGAGTTCTTATGCCTACCGAGAACCACGAGCCAGAACCTGGTCCCCTCAGAGAGTCGCAGGGAGCAATGGCCTATGAGCACTTTAATGTAAAGTGCTGTATATCATAATTGTCATCGATCAGGACGACTCTCCAACATATTGAATAGTGTTAGTATTATTAGTAAATACCTGACATAACCATTTCAACTAGGTATACCAGGGGTTAGTAATTTGATGTCGGAAATTTCCAACATCGTAACCCCCAAAACTTCCCTTGCCTCTTAAAAGAGATCCAGATTCTGGTGCTGGTTCCCAATAGGAATGAGTTGGTCTTAGAAGTCTGGTCCATCTCCCTAAGCCTTGACTGTACCAATGCTTAACTTCGGGAGGTCCTTAATTTTGTGCACCAGAAAAAAAGGTCACTTCATTTCTTTCAACACTTCATCTTTTCTTAAATTTCATATGTATCTTGCCTTTCTAATTTGACTTTTATCCTATGTCTCACAGTGGAAGAGCTACGAGGAGCTCGAGAAAATGAGGAGCGATTGAAAGGGCAGCTTGCAGAATTGCAACGCAAAGAACAGTACCATATTATGAGACTCTCCTGTAAGGAGCATGAACTACAGGATATGGGGGTAAGTGTCATATTTATGATAAATTATATAGTAGGCCTGTTAGATTTCATTAGACCATGTATTAATTATACTACAAAGAAAACACATTTACATTTAGTGTATTTACATGTGCTAGTGCAAGTTTAAATGTGTACGTACATACGTGTTTTATTTTTTTGGTGTATTACTTCGTTGTACATACAACCTACTGTTATAACTTGACTACAGACAGTAAATACTGGTAATATAGCTAGCACTGTCAAAATATTAGGTTTAAAGCAATCCATGCCTGATTTGTATGTTTTAGCAATAAACCACAGTATCTAGCAAGCCTAAACCTGTGTAATACTTATAGATTTTATATTTTTATTATGAATCATTTAGCATGTACAGTAATATATTTATAAATATGCATGTTTTATGAAAGATTTTTTCCGAGCTGTTCCACTCGGTAGCTCCCTGAGACAAAGACCAATTGTTCCCATAGACTGGGACTGCACATAGTCAAGATTCTCCACTTGTCCTTCAGTGATCTTTACTTAACATACCTACTGGGTCATATTAGAGCAAGGTAGAGCACTTAATCCAGCTTGAAATGACCTTGAGAAGACTAGTGTAACTAGTTCACTCAAAAGTCCTTCCAAGAATTACACTGAATCAAAGACACTGCCAAGGAGTGTTCTAATCAATTGCTAACTTGCTTCGTTAGATATAGAATCCTTGCTGGGGCTGCAGATTTTAAGAATGGTCTGATGTAGATTGTGTAAATTATCTTAAAAGTGTCCTTATTTAGGTATTTGAGTGTCATTCTTATGTTTGCCAGTTTTCCCATGTGTTACTATGGTTTATATATATTCTGATGTCAGTGATCATATTATACAAGTCTTTCTCACTCCAATACATGTGGCATCCTACCTCTATGGTGTAGTTTTCCTCTGGTCTGTCTTTCCCAATTTTCTTTTTTTTCTTTTGTTCAGTCTTTATTACGTTATTCTGGTGGAGTTTGATTCAAACGGTGCACTCCTTCAGCTTAAACTCGCATTAGTTTTACATTGTCTGCTTACATTGACATGTACAAACTCACCCATTTTGGTAAGTCATTAATAACAATTTAGAATAGCAATGAGGTTTGGACTGAATCTTGAGAAATTTTACTTGCTACATCTCTTCAGTTTGACATTTCTGATTGTAACTGTTTCCTGTTCCTTAGAAACTAACGAACAGTTTAGTACCTTTCCAGTTATCCCAGTCTGCCTCTGTCTTATGCAATAGCTCATTTTGAGGAACTATTTTAGCAGTCAAGTACGATGTAATATGCAGTCTGCTCTCTTTATCATATGGGGACCTTGTCATACAACTCTTCATTGAGGTGTTGCATGCTTTCCTCTTATTTTGAGGAGGATAAGACCATTCTAGTTTGGTCCACTCATAAGTCTCGGTGTTGCTTGCTTCCCTTAACCCGGGCTTCCTGGTTGTTTCTGAGGTGTCCATGACTCACCGGCCTTATGTCTTCCTTTGCATCTCCATATCACCTCCTTGCTGCATGGTTTAAGTGATTTCAGTGTTTTTCCTAGCAAGAGCTCAGGGGTGATGTGGGGATTTTAAAGCAGAGTCCTCAGTTCCTTCACCACAGGAAGATTTGTTTGAAAGGCCTAAGCTTCAGCTAAATATATATATATTCCCTTTCATGAGTGGAAGTCATCTTTGCCTCATCAGTGTGTATGTGTGTGTGAGAAGAGATTCCTGTTGAGCAACTTCTTTCTTTCAGCACTTGTCTGAGATGGGATTTTATCCTCTGTAGGAATACTACTATTCTTTGGTTGAGGTGGTTCAGTAATAGGTATTAAGTAATAAAGTAGCCCCATTTTCATTTCAATAATAATTTAATTTTATACTGTAATTTAATTTGGTGTCCTAGTTGAGAGGACTGACTGAATAGATTGATGTTAATTTATGCTAATGATAATATTGATAAAGATAGAAGTCTCAGTAATAGGGTTAATAGTTTAACCACTTTCAGAGACTTCCCAAGGAGTCTATACCTCTGGATGATGGCAGCCCACTCTCAAGTTCCCTTTGACCCTTCTTTTCTCCTTTCTTCTCCCCCTTCCCCTTTTGCTTGCTCTAGAGTTATGCGTGATCATGTTTTTTTCCCTTTAGTCGTCTACAGACTAGTACTCCCACTCTAGCATAACTAATGTAGCTAGTTGTCATAGTGTGTAAGCTTAACCATTAATGGACAAGCAAGTATAGAGGCTGGAGATAACTAAAATGTCTTTAAAATTTGAAGTTTTTAGTCTCATCCCTCCAATTCCATCCCATTTCCTCCCATTCCATTTAAGATAATACCAAATCCTGTTAGTTCATTTCCATATTATGTTGGTCGCATCTTCTAACCATAATCCCCACTTTACACTTAGATCTCCGATTAAACCTCCTTTGTTTAATCTCCTTTGTTCAATCAGGATTAGTGGCCAGGTGTGTCATGTAGGAATTGCTATGATACTTGACAATGTCCTTGAGGTGAAGTATTGATTGGATTGGATTTTGAGTATAGGTTACTCAACCTTCTGGAGGTCATTTTGACTGGATTGAATTTTTCTCCAATGCCTACCTTCTCCCACTATGACTCAATGAGGACGTGTGGAAAAAGTCTCTGCTGCACTAGGAAGAAAGTCTCAATCTAGCTAGTTGTCTAGTCCAATGTTCGGTAAGAGTAGGACATTACCTTAGGGAGCAACTGATTGGCCTGCTCTGAAGACATTTTTATCTACACTCTTTTTGTCATCTTTTACTTTTTTGGATGTGTATAATGTGTTAAATATGAATTATTTTCATACAGTAATTATTCAAATAAATTATGGAGTTAATAATTTTGATAATATAAAATTCAAGTTTTTCATGACATTTATTAAACTGTTTTTATTTGTTTTATGCCATGAACTCTGCATAAGCAGTAAGCTGTTATGTAATAAATATAACTAGATGGAAAGGAATTTTTAATATCAATTTGGTTTTATATTTAGGTGCAGGTACAGGAGCTGAAGAGCATGTCTGCTGGTGTTGGTGGCTTCAAACACTGCTTGCTGGACCCGGCCGTCAATTTGCTGTTTGAGAGGCTCAAACGTGACCTGGACTCAGCACGCACCAAGATGGAGGAGACCCAGAATGAACTATCAGCTTGGAAGTTCACCCCCGATAGGTGTGCCCCCCCGTGCTTAGTTTATTCGGCCACACTCGCCTGCTCCCAAATATCTTACTCTGGCAGCTATCATAAACAAAACAGTGACTATTTATTCGATACTGGGGGCTGAGCATTCCCTCGTTATCTGGCTCTTAACATTAAATACTCCAAAAACTGTGACTGCTTCATCAGTCATGGAGTTGAATGCTCCTGATCTCAAATGGTAGCAATTTCAGAAAGTGACTGTTAGTTGGTGAAACAGCCACACACACAATTCTTATTACCTAACTGTTGTGACTATTTGGTTTGTGCTTCAGGCTGTCTGAGAACTGTGCCTCATTAGCGGTTGAGGGGCAAAGCGTTCTTCATAACTACTTTTTATCTTGGAGTGACTTGTATCATGGGACAGATGATCCCCGGTTAAACAATACAATACTGTAAATTTTTAAAAACAGTGGCTGTTGGATTTCTAAAGGATGCAAAGGACCAAAGCAGTCATTATGGCCCTTAGTCAGTTGCGTCAATAAAGTGACAGTTACCACCTTTTGGAACACGCAAAAAGACCATTGGCCTCGTATTCCCCAAATTGACTTGTTTATGTGGATTGGAAAAATATTCCGTAGCGGGGCTAAAACTGATTTATAGACTAATGAAAACAAGATAAACACATGGGCAGTAGAAACACTTTTGGGTTATAGACAAGCAGACAGTTCTTGTGGCCAATGCTTGGTGTCTGTGTTGTCAGGAAGAAGAACTGTGGGTGGCACAAGTCGGAAATGGCCCTGACCGTAGACATTCATTGAACTTTTGTCATAAGAGCAGAGACTTAAAATAGGTTTCATCATTCCAAGTAATACATCTAGTCCTCTTCCTATGGAAAGTAAGTGGAAGGTTTTTATTACTTAATCTGTGTGTACCAGGAAGGTTACTGCTAGCACTTGGCCTTCCTGGCATTGAGCAGTTAAAACTGAAGTACTTGCAAAGCAGTGCATCCTCATGGGGGCCTTTCAACTCCAAACAATGTCATTGGTCTGTAAACTTTTTAAAGATTCCAGTATTTAGAAGAATGATACTAAAAGGGACTGTTTTATGATGCAGTGTCATAAGCCTGATTCTAAATTTCAACAAAAAAGTACGGTTGGTCATTCACATTGCTGTCAAGAATTATATATATATAACAAAAAAAAGAAGAGAAAAATCCACTTAATTGTAATAAGTTCAGAGTGGTAGGCAACTGTGTTACTGATCTCTGAATGAGATCTTGATATAATAATTAATTAGGATCATAGTTACTGGTGTTGGGTATCTTAAATATATTCGCTAGAAATTCTAATAGCTGTAGCAATTCAGCATTCACATAATCAAAGCTCCAAAAGGTGAGTTCTTTGGCTGTTCAATTTTAGTTGGTTAAGCATTGCCGTTATATTTTGACTGACGTCAACAAATATAAACTTGGTACGTGGAGAAGACCTTTACTATTTGAACAACATGCTTCAGTGAAGTTAAACCACGTTTGGTCTTATTTTCTGCATCAGCACACTAGATTTAATATTTTCTAATACTATATATATATATATAGTTGGTACATTCAATGGAAATATGATGCAGTTAATAAATGTTTCTCTCTGCAGATTTAGGCATTCCTAGTATGTGTATTTTGTTGGCAAATTTTGTTTGGTGATGCAGTGTTTATTTGGTTTTATTTACGTACTTTAATGTTGAGTAGCTTTTATCGATGCACACCAGCCTGCACCCACAGTGAATCAGATTTATTAACCCATTTTGTGCCTGAGTTCTGTGAATTGCTGATAATTGGATGTCAGTCCAGGTATATGACTGTTTTATGATATTTTACATATTACTACTTTCCTTTGCATTTTCTATCATAGCACCTCAATTATTAATTTATTATCACTGTCATTATAATATGGATTTTTTATTTGTCTTCATAAGTTTTAGACTACAGTCAGTTCTGTATGTTTGTATAAATATATATATATATTTATATATATATATTTATATATATATATATATATATATATATATATATATATATATATATATATATATATATATATATATATATATATATATATATAATATATATATATATATATATATATATATATATATATATATATATATATATATATATATATATATATATATATATATATATATATATATATATATATATATATATATATATATATATTATATAATATCTTAACAAAGGTAAGTTTTATAGATGTGATTTGTGTGTGTGATTAATAGTACACTTCATGGTATGGTGACATTACGTTATATAAAAGGTGTATACTTTTTGTGGTAAATATTTTTGGTAAAGCAAAGGTACTGAAAGTGTGAAAATAATTTATTTGTATTTTGCCTTGCAAATTTTTACTAGCTGTAGTACTGTATATACAGTATTTGCATTATATATATATTATATATATATATATATATATATATATATATATATATATATATATATATATATATATATATATATATATATATATATATATATATATATATATATATATATATATATATATATATATATATATATATATATATATATATATATATATATATATATATATATATATATATATATATATATATATATATATATATATATATATATATATATATATATATATATATATATATATATATATATATATATATATATATATATATATATATATATATATATATATATATAATATGTCGTACCTAGTAGCCAGAACGCACTTCTCGGCCTACTATGCAAGGCTCGATTTGCCTAATAGGCCAAGTGATTTTCTTTATTTTCCCCCCAAAAATTCCTATTGGTTTATTTGATTTATTATTATTATATTAAGAATATAAATTATTGACTTAGTTATGTTAGGTTAGGTAGGCTAGGTTAGGTTTGGTCATATATCTACGTTACTTTTAACTCAAATTAAGAAAAATGAACTCATGCATAATGAAATGGATAGCTTTATCATTTCATAGGAAAAAAAATTAGAAAAATACATAAACTCAGGAAAACTTGGCTTATTACGTAAATCGGGTCTTGCATAGTAGGCCGAGTGCTGCGTTCTGGCTACTAGGTACAACATATACATATATATATATATATATGTCGTACCTAGTAGCCAGAACACACTTCTCAGCCTACTATGCAAGGCCCGATTTGCCTAATAAGCCAAGTTTTCCTGAATTATTGTATTTTCTCTAATTTATTACTTATGAATTGATAAAGCTGCCCATTTCATTATGTATGAGGTCAATTTTTTTTTATTGGAGTTAAAATTAACGTAGATATATGACCGAACCTAACCAACCCTACCTAACCTAACCTAACCTATCTTTATAGGTTAGGTTAGGTTAGGTAGCCGAAAAGTTAGGTTAGGTTAGGTTAGGTAGGTTAGGTAGTCGAAAAACAATTAATTCATGAAAACTTGTCTTATTAGGCAAATTGGGCCTTGCATAGTAGGCTGAGAAGTGCGTTCTGGCTACTAGGTACGACATATATATATATATATATATATATGTCGTACCTAGTAGCCAGAACTCACTTCTCAGGCTACTATTCAAGGCCCGATTTGCCTAATAAGCCAAGTTTTCCTGAATTAATATATTTACTATAATTTTTTTCTTATGAAATGATAAAGCAACCCTTTTCTCTATGTATGAGGTTATTTTTTTTTATTGGAGTTAAAATTAACGTAGATATATGACCGAACCTAACCAACCCTACCTAACCTAACCTAACCTATATTTATAGGTAAGGTTAGGTTAGGTAGCCAAAAAAAGCTAGGTTAGGTTAGGTTAGGTAGGTTAGGTAGACGAAAAAACATTAATTCATGAAAACTTGGCTTATTATGCAAATCGGGCCTTGAATAGTAGGCTGAGAAGTGCGTTCTGGCTATTAGGTACGACATATATATACTGTATATATATATATATATATATATATATATATATATATATATATATATATATATATATATATAAATAATACATACATACATACATACAGTACATGTATATACATACATATATATATACAGATACATACATGTATATATAACACACACACACATTTGGCCTCCATAAGAACATAGTGGATGCCAAAACCACCAGTACAATGGTTTCAAAGCATTATATGACCAGATTGTTGGGAAGATGGAACACCACGAGCATGGCTCTCATCCTGTAACTACTTAGGTAATTATACACACACACACTCACACAGCTAAGTGTGTACACACACAGTCACTCACTCTGTATATGGACTTTAATTACTGGGAAAAATCTTTATCCAAGAGTTATACAGTGGATTAAAGAGGTTTAAAGTGAGCTTGATTATTAATTTACAGTATGTTAATGTTGTGAGGGGTGACGAGTACAGTGATGGTGGAGGGAAAAGATTAGACATCATCCAACTAACTGCACTTCAAATTTGAATGCAAAGCTGGATTCCAGTGATGATGGAGCTTTGTATTCATAGAGCACTCACCTAAGTTAACGATGCTTCTGCATTTTGTTTTGGTAAATTGCTTGCTTTCTTTTACTCATAGATGTTACCTTGTTTTGCTTGTCTCATAGATTACTGGCTTCCTGTTTTTTGTACTGTCTTTCAACTCGATCCTTTGTGTAAAGGGGACATAATCGAACAAATGAACAATTTACACATGACTCGGTTCTGTATTTTTTATAATGCAATTAGCCTAATCTTTATGTTGCACCTTTTCAATTTATCTCATTATTTGAGTCACCATGTTTTGTAAAATTAATTACCCATACTGTATTTTTCCATGCTATAGGAAGCCACTAGGCATCTAGATCATGAACACGTCCTGATTTGGCTACATGTTTTACAATCAGGTATACCTAGTTAAGATTCTTTTTTTTTCTTTGGTCATTTTTATTTGTATCGTCCTTGAGGTGTCCATTCAGTATCTCAAGAAAACACCTCTCAGTAATGAGCCAATGAGGATTGCTGCTATTGACATCAAACA